ATCCTCTGCAGCTTTCCCTATCTGTTCTAAGCACCCCAAATTGACTTCTCATGCTGCACATTAACAATCTTACAAACTGGTGTTCCCCATCATGCCGCCATTCTTCCATTTTTGAGGGCTCCAGTCATCTCCATCCAGAACCAGAAGCAATCCCTGAAAGGCTCGGACTATATTTTTAAGACTCATGAAACACTGCTTTGATTCTCATAAAAGAAAAACTCAATGCATTAATAATAATATCTTCATTCTGTCTCTAAAACTCAAATCTAAGCAGCTCAGATTATTATCTCTCTTCAGATCTGTCACTGGCTTTCCAGTATCCAAAACAGATTTCCTTCTTGCATTAATTCTTCAGTGAAAAGCTAATCATGACCTTCCTGTTTGTGACTGCCTTTGTAACAGAGGGATATAATGTCCCTCTTCAGCCTTCTCTTCTCAAGGCTGAACATGCCCAGTTCTCTCTGTCTCTCCTCACAGGGCAGTGTTTCCAAAGCCTGGATCATGTTTGTTGCCTTCATTTTAGTTGGTCTTTCTTTTGGTTGGTTCTTTTCTCTCTTTGGTGTCTTTTAGTTGGCCTTTGACTTTCCCTAGCGCGATGGTCTTCTCTAGGGAGTCCCACCTTCTCCCGAAGTGTCCAGCTTCATTGTCATCAGTTTGGCTTCCATGGCTGGCTGGATTTGCTCCAAGACCCAGTTGCTTTATTATTAGTGTTATTGTTATGTCAGTCTTGAGTCTTTGCAATGCTCTCCTCCTGCACCACATTTTGAATGCATCCATTTTCTTTCCACCCACTTCCTTCCCTGTACAGCCTTTGCATCCACACACAATGATCTGGAATACAGTCATGCAGATGATCTTGGCCTCTCTCTCCAGAGAAATGCCCTTACACTTGAGGAGGTAGACCCTGATGCACCACTGAGGGGAAAATGGCACAGTAGAGGACTTATGTCACCGCCATTTGGGACCTCTCCAGTGCTGAGGGACACTTTCTGCAGGCTTTAGTTGAAGGCATAACTGGTGGAGGTTCTTTTAGAGACCACAGAGGTGATGTTCAAACTGACTTTGGTTAGTCTTCCATAGGAGAAGGCAACAATGAACCTCTTACACATCTTCTCATCTAGAAAACACTACAATGTGCACTTCAGGCACATTGTGAGAAGGCAAGACTCGGAGGAGAAGTCCATCATGCTAGGAAGAGTCTACAGCAGAAGAAGAAAAGGAAGAGCAAGGGAAAGATGAAAGGGGCTCCATCAAGGATGTCCTTCCAGGTCTTCATCTGGTGACACAGGTCAGAAGTCTGGTTTGTGGACTGTTTCCTAAGCCAAAATGAGGAATAATGCTCTGGCATCTTTTGCCCTTCTGAAGTTCTGCTCTGGAGTCCACCTGTCATCTTCAGGGAGATCTACAAATAATTTAGTCCATGGACTTAGACCCATATTTCTAAAACTAAGGCATACATTTGCACACGTGAGGGCTCCAATCTAGAGAACTTGTTTGTTTGTTTGTTTGTTTGTTTGTTTGTTTGTTTGTTTAAAACATTGCTATGCCGCCCCCATCGCAACAAAGCCTCGGGGCAAAACAGTAGCACCTGTTGTCTCTTGCACTCCCCAAACCTTTTGAACCCAGGTGGAAGGAGTTTTCCTTCTTACTGCTTCTTGTCATCCCCAAGTTGTCTCAGGAGAACAATAGGTGGGGGGGGGGCGGTTGTAGCCCTTTTTGAAAAAGAAACACTCTTAATTCTGTCTCTCTGGCTGAGGTTCCTACACCAAGGAGTAGATGCAAATTGGGTTGCCATCCTTGATACAAGGAGAGAATGGCATTGGTAAAATTAAAGCTATTGACATTTACCTGATCTAAGGCTGCAAATGTTACATAACCAGAAGGAACGGGGACTCTGACAAGAACTCAGGCAGTTTGAAAACACAGAAACAGACCTAGGAGCATGAGTGGCGAGCATGGCTGAAGAGAACGATTGACTCTACTTGAAATGCTGTTATTGATTTTTTGTGCTTTTGAACCTGTTGCTATTTATGAAGGTGCTTGTCACCTTCCAATTTTCAGTAAACCGGCAACTTGTTCATGATTTATTGATGTGAGCCGCCCCGAGGCTTCAGCGAATGGGGCGGCATAAAAATGTTTTAATAAATAAAATAAATAAATAAAAAATAAGCTGTTCATTCTGGAAGACCGTTCACTAGAATATCAAGGCACAGTTCACCTTCCCCAAGAATGTTTGCAAGATGACATTCCCACATGATCCTGTTTCTTCCACGAATGCAGAAACTCTAAGATGACACTTCTGTCATCTCTTCCAGTGGTGAAGACTGAGAGCATTCGCTTTGTTTCATGGTGTCGTGTTGAAATCCGGAACTAGAAAAGACTCTGAGTCCAAAGATGGCTCTTGATCACAGTGTATCCCCTCTCACTGAAGGGGTTCTGCAGAACTTGGAGGCCTCATCCTGCCCAGCCCCAGATACGAACCATCTGTCCATCTTAAAAAAACAAACCATCAAAAACACAGACCTTTGATGGGATAAGTATAGCAGGAGAGAGCATGGCACATGTCTCAATGTGGAACATGGCGCAATGGTGTTGCATTTGTGAGCCAGTGTGGCGTAGTGTGAGCCAGTGTGGCGTAGTGGTTAAGAGCATGGGGCTGGGACTCAGAGGATCTGGGTTCTAGTCCCTGCTCAGCCATGGAGCCAACTGGGTGACTTTGGGCTAGTCACAGACTCTCAGCCCAACCTCCCTCACAGGGTTGTCATTGTGGGGAGAAGATGGAGGAGGAGGAGGATGTAAGCTGCCTTGAGCCCTTTGTAGGAAAAAGGCAGGATATAAATCACAATATACATAAATAAATTTGTACTAGAGATGTGCAGGAATCCACACTGGAGATGGAAATCCAGCAGGTTCCCTGAGCTCAGCCTCCTGCTTTCCCACAGCCAGGAGTCCAGTCCCCTGGCAAATGCACCCAGAACGCCAGGGTCTGATGTGGTTTCTTTTAATCGTCTCAAGGGGCAAAGAGGCTGGTAAGTGCCAAGAGATGTGCCAGTAGCACCATGTTGGGAGCCTAAAAGAGACATCCTTGTGAAATGGAACCTGGGCCCAGTGCTCTTCAACATCTCTATTAATGGTTTAGATGAGGACATACAAGGAAGGATCATCAAATTCACAGATGATAGAAAACTGGGTGGAATAGCAAACACCTTAGAAAACAGAATGAAGATCCAGGGGGATCTTGATAAACTTGAACACTGGGCTGCAATCTACAGAATGAGATTCAATAAGGACCAAGTCCCCAGTTCTCCACCTAGGAAAGAGAAACCAAAAGCATTGGTACAAGATGAGGAATATGTGGCTTAGCAGAACTGAAATAAATAGACACTGTAAGTACCTCAAATCCTGTTCCAAAGAGGAAGGTCAGCTTCCTCACTGTCAGAGCAACATGACCGTGCAACCATCTGCCTGGAGAGGTGGGGGCTCTCCCACCCCGGAAACATCCAGAAAGAAACTGGGCAGCCTCCTGAGTGGGATGGTGTGACTTGGTGTCCTGCAACAGCAGGGGGTCTGACTCAGTGGCCTTCATGGCCCCTTCCAACCCTACTATTCAATGATTCTATGAAGCTCCAAATGGAGAAACAGTCTACCTCTGAGAATGAACACCTAAGCAACCTGCTTTTAGGTTTCCTGGAGGAATATAGATGGACCCTGTGGGGAATGGGAAGGTGGACTTCCATTTGATCTACTTGAGCTCTTCATAAGTTCTCAGTGAGAATTAAGGCACACCAATTAATGATTACAGTGCCTAAATTAAATCTACAGCTTCAGAGGCAATTTACCTCTGAATGCCAGATCTCGGGGGAAGGCACCAGCTTCTTGGGTTGGCCACTGTAGGAAACAGAATGACAGGTTAGATGGGCTTTGTGGTTTCATCCAGAGGTCTCCTTAAATTCTTAGCCTCCCTCTTAACCTGCAGGTTGTTCTGTTTCAGAGATAGAAAACTGCTTTTCACGTGAAATCTCAGGGCCCCAATTCCAAGAAGGCTGAAGGTGAGAAAAAGCATACAGAGGAGAGCAAGAAGACACACTTCAGGTGTGGAGGAGCAGAAGAGAAGAGAAGAGTTAATGTGAGAAAGAAATCTGAATTGGATGCTGGAAAGTTGATGACAGATTTGAAAAGAGATAGTCATCTGAGCTCCCTAGATAGTGTTTTAGAGACAGAATGAAGGTATTATTGATTATTAATGCATTGAGTTTTTCTTTTATGAGAATCAAAGCAGTTTTTCATGAGTCTTAAAAATATAGTCAGAGCCTTTCAGGGAACATGTCAGAATTGGGATTGCTTCTGGTTTTGGATAGATATCCTGAAAAAATTGGAGGCATGGACTGGTGGAGAATACTGTTTATAGGATTGTTAGTAATGTGCAGCATGAGAAGTCAATTTGAGGTGCTTAGAAAAGATAGGGAAAGCTGCAGAGGATCTCAAGTGATTGGAAAATCTGTTGTATAGATTAAGGGGGGAAAATTGCATTACATTTTTAATGGATCTACCCTCGGATAGATTCTGAGCGATGACTGTACTAGATGGAGCTGTATCAAATTCCCTTGGCAATTTTGTCTTTTTCAGCTTGTTCTGTTGGTTAGTTATTTTTCTCTTACTGTGGTTATTGTGAACCATCCTGAGATGTCAGTCATGGGATGGTATACAAAAGTGTTAAATAAATGCATAAATAAAATAAAAACTTGGTTATCAATGGAAAATGCTGTCTGAAACTCATTTACAGCAAGAAGTTGATCTGGCCCGATGTTATTTGAGCAGGGGATTCTGTGAAGTCTGTTCTCTATCGATCCATAATCTAGAGTCTGTTCTTTAACTTCTGTGTTAGCAAAAACGGGATACTGGAGTTTGGACCTAACAGAAGTGGAGAGCAGCCAGAACTGACTCGTTCCTGAAATTCATTCTGGTGCCGCAGAAAGAGAGTTTTGCATGCTTCCGATCGAGGAGAGGCAGCTCAGCTGAGGAACCGAACCCCACATGGTTTCCATGGGACAAGGCTGCCCCCCTCCAAGTCATTGCAGTGTTAAAGTGACTCAGATATGCAGGTCTGAATGCTATTGGATCCATCTCTCCCACAGGAGATGATTGGCATGCCCATGATTGCTGCTATTGGACAGCTGCATCCAGCCTTCACCACCCGGACTTCAAAAGCTTGACCAGTGCCTGTCCTGAGACTACAGCATTCTGACCTGGGCTGAGCTCAGCTGAGGGTTAGAGAGATAAGAAATCATGCTGGACTCGGAGTTCAGTGAGTTTCTCTTTTACAACAGTTCACCTTGTACCACTGTATGTACCAATGACACAGGACCGCCTCCACCCCCTCCGGTGGTCGACCTCTGGCTGCCGCCGTTCTTTTTCCTGTTGATTATGCTGATTGGGGTGGTGGGCAACTTTCTGGTGCTCCGCATCATCAAAAAGACCAAGAAGATGAGAACTGTGACTGACTTCTACATAGGTGAGAGGGGTAAAACTTTGGGGATATTCCTGGGCTGGGGTGGGTGGCAGAACTAAGCTGAATGAGCAGAAAGGGGAACAAGCTCAGTCAAATACTTGCTAGCTCAGTAATTCATTCCAATGGCTTAATAAATAATATTCTCCCATCAGCTTCGGGTGGTATTAGCTGACGAGAATGGATGAAAATGTGCGTGTAAATGGGTAGATTTCTTGTACTTATGTCTTCTTAAAAAGTGAATTGCTTTAAGCATCCCTCAAAACTAGCTGGGTTTGAAGCAGTACCTGTTGCAGATAGAAATGTATCCAACTCTTGCACACTTCAGAGTTTCTGTCCACTGTGATTTTCTAGCTAGAAGTCTGAATCTGAGTGGGTTAGGGGAGAAATTTCTGGGTTTTGAAATCAAGCCCCCCTGCGTTTATGCCACACAGCCGGAGAATGGTACATAGTGTGAATCGGCTGTTTGCAAGCAGGTGTCCTCCAGACAGCCTGAACTACCATGGCAAGCGTTCCACGTTGCCCGCGCTGCCTGCGGGGGCTCGGGTGTGTAATCTGGGCTATGGGAGGGCTGCTTTTGATCAATTACCTGCGAGGGCAAATGAGGGTTTTCTTCGCGGGGGCGAGGAAGCTCTTTGCTCTTTGCTCTTTGCAATCTCCTTTTTCCGCTCAAATAATGTCTGTTTGTGGGAATCTGACACACACCCCACATGCCCGCCTGGACTGGTTTCCAGCAATGCCGCTCTCATCTTTCACAAGGCAGGCTTAAGGTTTTATTTCTTAGTTCGTGGCCCTGTTTGCATTTTGTCTCGCATCCCGGGGGCGTTTCAAGACGGTTTAGCAAAAAGTTAAAACGCCACAGCGGCAAGCAGCGGCGGCGCTCCTCCCGCGCTGCCGCCGTTGCCCGGGCAGGAGCGAGAAGCGGGTGGTTAGGCTGTGGGGGAACCCAGAGAGGAGGCGGATTGTGTCCCCCGCAGAAGCCACACGCGTGAATTTGCAAGCACCGGGAAGGGCTGCCCTGGCCAGGACCTCTCCGACGATGCCGCTCAGAGGTTGCCGTAAGTCGGACCGTTAAGGGCGAGGAGAGCGCAACGCGAGGGGATGCGCTCGGGCACCTGCGGCTCGCGAGGCATCCCGTCCGCTGGCAGCGCAGCATCCCCGGGCGCGGAGCCGAGCGGAGCGCAGCGCATCAGCCCGTCCCCCGCTCTTCCTCCCACAGGCAACCTGGCCTTGACGGACATCCTGTCTCTGCTCGTCAGCGTCCCCTTCACTGCCTCCCTCTACCCGCTGCAGAGATGGATTTTCGGGGAGTTCCTCTGCAAATTCGGGAACTACATCCAACAGGTGAGCTCCCATCCGCCGGTGGGGAGGGAAACGGGCTCCGGAAAAACCCAGAGTGCGGGCGGCCGCCTCCCTGATCGCAGGTGGCTGCACCTGAGCTGATCGGCGCAGGTGAGGCGCCCCGGATTCCTCGGACGACGGCACCCCCTTTTCTTCCCGCTGCATTTGCAATGTTCCCCCTTCACCAAAAGAACCGAATTGCTTCTTTTCGGGCTTTTTAGACGATAAGAAACTTCAGGTGTGTTTTGAGGGTATTTTTTGGGGGGGTGGGAGGTGGGGGGCTCGGGGTTGTTTTAGGAGGATCATCTGAATGTGATATTTCTGTTGTGGATAAAATATTTCGTGGGGCTCATTCAAAGAAATGTGTTTAGAAATGGAGTGATTTTCTGTGAAATAAATTATTATCATTATTATAGTGGAGCCGACTCTCTACTCTTTCCAGTGCCAGGTGAAGATCTTTTTATTTACCCATCATTTTAATAATTGGATCAATAATTTTAATAAAAATATCAATCGGTTGCATCTTCTTTCTTTTCCTTTTCTTTCAATTTTGAATAATTGGTTCAATTGAATGTTTTAATGTTTATTATTGAATTTTAATTGTATTTATATGTTGTTGTGAGCTGTCCTGAGGCTCTGCATAGGATGGCATAAAACTGTTTTAAATATCATCATCATCATCATTATTATATTATTATTATTATTAGAACATTTCTATGCCGCCCCTTGCCGAAGCCTCGGGGCAGCTTACAACACAATAAGATACATTGAAATACAATAGAACATAATAAATTACCACTAAATACAAAAATACAAAAAATACACTGAGATACAATAATATAAAATTAAAATTAACAGTATAAAATAAGTAAATAAAGAATATAGGAGGAGAAAAGAGAAGGAAGAAGAAGTTGCCCTGGCCAGATCATATATTTTAACAATTAAAATGATGTTTAAATTAAAAGGTCTTTACCTGGCACCAAAAAACCAGTAACGACGGTGCATATTTTGCTAGAGCTGAAAATGGAGAGCTTTAATGGGACATGTTTTCCTTCTAGCTTCACCAGCAATTTTTATATAAAATAGCTGTCACTAATAACATTTGTGGGTGTCCATCACCCCATTTTATGGTGGGGTGTGCAACTTGTTCCCAACCTCCCAGAACCCAGAAATGTTGGCATGGCTTGGTCTAGATGGACTGTGAATTCCTGTGCGGTTTGGGACGGCTTCTTAGATAATATGGGGACGTAAAGCAGAATGGGGACTCATACCAACTGGCCTTTGGAGAAGGAAGCCAGCCCCAGATCATGCAGGGGTTGCTTTCGTGCTCTCACAGGTCTCCATGCAAGTGACAAGCGTCACACTGCTTGCCATGAACATGGACCGCTGGTACATGGCCACATTTCCTCTTGAGACTTTGCATCAACGGAGCACCTGTGTTGCTGGAGTCATCGTGTGCAGCATTTGGCTGGGTGAGTCAAAACCTTGTGGCCAGCACTTCCCAGTTTGGACTGGAGGTGCAGAAGCACTGGACTTCTGTGGGTGGCCAAGGAGCAGGAGTCCAGGGGGGCCAACAGATCCCCTGTGTAGCCACAGGTCCAGCCTCCCTCCAGGGCCAGTACTTCAACTGTATGCGTTTTTTCCCTCCTAGTTCTGGTTTAACCAGAGGTATATAAAACATTAATTACCAGAGGTATTTAAAACATTAATTGTACAGTTACAGCTGAAGAAATGGGTCCCAGTTTTCAGCCTGTTGCATTTACTCATTTCCCTCCCTCTCTTCCTTTGAAATATTTTCCTCTATTCCTCAGCCAAAAATATTCTTGCAATCTCTCATCTAAGCAGGAAAACAGGTTTGAACTACTACACACAAGAAAAGAGAGACAGGAGGGAAGAGAAAAATCCAATACTTGCAGGAAGCTGGGTGGCATTGCTGTTGATGTTTTCTTGTCCTATGCTGTTCAGCCTGGCAGAGGAAGCATCCAGGTTATTTTGGTTCCATGTCTCACAGTTCTGCACATGCCCTTTTGTGTGTACATCAGATGCCCCCCACACACAAGGGGGCTGACCCAGTGGGCTCAGTGTTTTTTGATCATGGATCTTGTTTGTAGTTCTTTTTGTTTTTGTATAATTTTGCAAATAAAACTTATTTTTAAAAAATGCCACACACACACACACACACACACACACACACACACACACACACAGAGGACCCTCCATTAGACAGCAAGTCCTTCAGGTGCTTTGGCACAATTGTCTCTCCTCAGTCATCGAACTGGGCATAGAGATGTGTCCAGATAGAGAGCATGGACCACTGTACCTTTGATGCTTAGCATGGATGCAGCCATGGTCACATCCTGGCTGCTCATTGTCCCTTGAACCCCACCCCAAACACTCCAGGGCAACAAGCCTGTTCAACCACTGGCATTTGCTAGTAGCAAGAAAAAAATAGGCTGACTTGGAATGTCTGAAGCTTTTGGTGGTGTCATGGTAGCCGCAGAGAAAAGGTTAAAATGTTGTTTGAAAAGAGGCCCTTTCCTGCAGTCCCAAGTTCCAGTCTTTGGGCTTTGAAAAGGAGGCGGGTCTTCCTCGTGGCCACGCCACTCAATCCTGGAGACGATTCTCCTTGAAAAGCCAGGGGTGCTGCAGCCATGCTGGGGACCAATGTGCTGCCTACACAGAGGTCAAGGGGAAAGAAATGAAGGAAGGTCCAGAATTCAGGGTGGGGGTGCTCTGGAACAAAGACCAACGGTCCAAAGCTAGAGCGACATTCGGCTGAGGGGAATTCAGGAGGTGTACCTACTCCAGATCTCCATCCTTCCAGGTTCCTTCCTGATTTCCACCCCAGTCCTGGTCTACACTCATCTCCAGCAAGGCTACTGGGACGGCCCACAGCAGTTCTGCACCCACACCTTCCCCACAAAATACCACGAGCAGGTCTTCATTCTGTACAACTTCTTTATGGTGTATCTCCTTCCGATGACCAGCAACCTGCTTTGCTACACAACCATACTCTTCCAGATTGGGCGTGCCAGGGAGGACCCGAACGATAGCGTCGAGGTACTTTCTTCGGTACAACGGGGGTGTGGCACCCTTCTGCCCAAGGGCCACGTTCTGGAGGAGCTTGTGGGGACTGCAAGCCAGGGGTGGGTGGGCCCTAAGGCGGGGAGGGGGCAAAAACCCGGCCTTTTGTAGCCGCCAACAACTAAACCTTAGGAGAGACAATTCTACCTTTAGTAATGGAGTGGGGAGACTGCCGAAAAGCCAGGACAGATGATGGGTGTTCAAGGAAAGAGGGACCTGCTGGGTGCCTTGATAGTCTCCAACCAGATCTGAGCTGCAACAGCTCTGGTCAAGATTTTTAAAAGTGTTAAAGCAATCACCAGCTTGATGGGGAGCTGATTCAGGAAGGAAAAGCATTTCCCTCCCCCACCCCACCCCCCAGATGCAAACCTCCCCCTTCCAAGCTGCTCCACGATGCCCAATAGCCAAACCCGTTCTGTTCATTTCCTCTTGCATCCATTCTCTGATCAATGTAATACCCCAAAGAGTTTCAATTTATTTAGGCTTTCGGTTCTGTTGTTCTCTGCTTAAAAGAAAAATATTTCCAAAGAAACAAAGCAACTCTTTTAACAGTTTCTTCTGGAAAATAAACAAGCACTTTAAACTGCAAAGCAGAAGTTTGATGAAAATCGCCTGCAAAAACAAAGTGATAGCAAGAGAATTACACTTATTATTATTATTATTATTATTATTATATTATTATTATTATTATATTTTATTATTATCCTCCTCCTCCTCCTCCTCCTCCTTGAATGGAGGCTATGAATATTCCTACAGATGCTGTTCTTTGCCTCTGTACTTGGCATCCACCATGCCACAAAGAGCAAAGCCAGGTCGCTGAGCTGTAGACATTAATACACAGCAATTTACAAGCTTGTGTGTTCAAAGATTCAAGATATTTTCACTCCCCCACCCCCACCACACAGGATTACAGGGAGAGAGTCAGGAATTCCTAACACCCATGAGCAAGCATGTACCAGCATGCATGGATGATCCAGTGTTCAGGTGGAACCCAGACCTTGGCTGTCGCATTTCGAACAGTCTCCAAGGCAGCCGATCGTTATAACTTGCATGCCGTGAACGGGCCTGCAGCAGCAGAGGAGGCGGCTGGCCCCCTGTCTCACCGCTTTCCGCTTTCTGGTGCAGGTGCAGCAACTGAAGGAACGTTTGGATGCCCTGCGGCTCAAGCTCACCCGCATGGTGTCCTTGCTCGTTCTCCTCTACACCATCTGCTGGGGGCCCACACATTTCCTCAGCCTCTTACAAGGCTTCAGTCCCCATGTTCAGTTCAGCTACTGCCTGTACAGGCTGAAGATCTGGGCTCGCTGCATGTCGTACATCAGCTTCTCTGTCAACCCCATCCTGTACGCCTTCTTGGGGAAGAATTTCCAGAAGTCCTTCAAGAAGGAATTGCCATTCCTCTTCAAGAAAAGGCCAGCCATTAGAGCCCGGAACAGCGTCCACATGGAGATGCAGGTCGTTCAGTAAAAGGATGATCGTCCCCCACCCTGCTTTTCCCTCTGTGCCATGGGATCCCAAACTCCAACGACCCTTTGAAGTTCTTCTACTGAGATGTCATTGATGCCACAGCTCCCAGTCACCCTTTGCCACAGCTGAAAAAACAAGTCTCTGCTTGTGTCAAGAGCTGACTCCAAACTGGAAGCTTCCACAGGATCCTCCCTTTCAGGAGGATTTCTGGCAGGATGGCTCTCGCTGCTGGAGACAAGGATGGCGCAAGTGGGGAAGCCCCTCCAGCTGAACATCTAATTCCTCCCAGGGGGCCAAGAAAAATGCCCGTTCCCCTTCTCCTTCCAACAAGCGGGTCCTCATGCCCAAGCATCTGAGGATCTTCACGCCTGAGAATCTTCACTAGGCCTCACTGGAAGAACTTTGAAGATTTCGGTCCCCCTTGCTCCTCCCACTCAGAATCCAGTCACAACAACTCACACCAAGCAGTCTGCCATGGGCGAGGGATTTCCCACTGCCCACACATCCCCCTCCAAGATGTTTCATACAGAGCTTGAACCTTTGGCGATCCAAGGCTGCCTTTTGGCAAGGCAGGGTGCGTGAGGTTCCATTACCTCCTCATCCCTCCCAAGTGTCTCCATAGTTTGGCTTACTTACTCTAGAGATCCAGAGCCGATGTTGTAGTTCTTGCTTGTCATGTGGGCTCTGGCAATCCTAGTTCAGCAGAATTTATGGGGAGGGACCCAAGTCTTAGGACCCTGCCCTCCCCTCTGCCAATATTAACTGAGGCATCTCCCATTGTCAACTTTGCAGGAGAATAACAAGGCAAAACTGCCGTTGGGTTTCAGCGTAGCTTCTTGCCTTCACAAGAAGCTTGGGTCGCTCTCAGCTCAGCAGGGGCAATTCTGCATACTTAAACTGTTCTGTTCTGTTTAGTTGTTAGTCATGTGCCAGTGTAAGTATCCAACAGGTCAAATCTAGCCACAATCTTCTGATCTTGCGCTTCTCTTTCAGCTGATCTATGCTCTGCTCACATCCTGCTTAATATAGTCTAACCGCCTCGCTCTTTGAGCTGGCCTTCTCTCGCTGCCGAGTATTCCTAGTATTGTGTCTTCTTCTAATGAGCTTGATCGTGTAACGTGGTGAAAATACGCGAGTCTCAGCTTTGCTATCTTGCCAACCAGGGATGCGCCTGGTTTAATATGTCCATAAAATGCGTAGGAACCTCCACCAACACCACGGTACGAATGAGTCAGTTTTTTTCTTGTTTAAGTTTCTCGTCGTCCAACTTTCCCAACCGTAGGTTGTTATAGGAAAAATGATCACTTGGACCAATCTGCACTTGGTGCCAGACTGATGTCTTGTTTTTCCACACTCAGTTCATGCTTATCATTGCTATACAACCTAATGGAATTGGATGGTTTATTTCTGGGATGCATTTACTGCTGTGAGTAATCACCGACTCTAGAAAAGTGAATTCTTTCTGCATATTCAATTTCCACATTATCAACTGTTATTTTGATGGCTTCATTCTGTGCAGTCTTGAAGATCTTCATTTTTGCTTTAGACCTTCCTGGGTTTCTGAGAGAGGGTTGTGTCTCTCCTTTGGAAGGTTATTGATAGTTCTTCCAGATATTATCCTGACTTTTGATTCTCCAAGATCCATCTTCTTCAAGATTACTTCCACATATAAGTTGAGCAGAAAAGGGGAGAGAATGCATCCCCGCCAGACTTTTTTGTAAAAACCTTCAACCCATCTTACTGGTTGCTGGTTTGTATATAGCGATTGCAGCAACCTAACCAGATCTGTTGGTATGCCAGGTCTTTTAGTATTTTCCACAGCTTGTCACGATCAGTGCAGTGAAAGGCTTTCTTGTAGTCAGTAAAACACAGGTAAATGTTCTTTGGATATTCTTGAGACTTTTCCATAATCCAGCACAAACTTAAACCATCCTTCCCCAGCTCGGCACTCTCCATTGCTCCTTCCCAAACTGTTTGCCATGCTTGCAGACTTTTGCATCCAGAGAACATCAGTGTCTGGGTCTCAGGCCGTTTCCTTAGTCCCTGGGACCTAACAGACCTTTATTCTTTCATACTTCACAGCTACAAGATCATGTAACTCTGAAAACCCTCTAGTGAGTTAGAAGATAGGCCTCTGTTCATGTCAGAAGTGTTGAACCCTGACTGAGAAATACCCCCCGCTGCCATCTTTCCTTCTTGGGAAGCCTCACACAAACCATTTAACTGGGCAGCTCTCTATCCCAGAGCCCCATCATGGGCTCAGGGACCAGGCAAGGCAGCTGTGTGTGTGGATTTTAGTCCTGTTTGGCCCTTGCTGAAGGCCTTGAAACCCAGGCTGGTTCGATTTTAATTATGTGCAACAGCTTCTTTCACCTTCCTAAACTGCTCTTCAATTTGCTATGGTTTCCTTTGGTCTCTTTGGTTTAACCAATCTCTGACCTTCCCCCACATGTGAGTGCCACCCCCTGTCCACCCCCATGCGACTTAGCCTCCCATCCTCCCCAGCAAGGACAGCTTGGAATTGTAGTCCAACACATTCGCATTCCAAGAAGGTCATGTGTCAACTTCATGCAGTCATGCCACCCTTCTCCAGTAGATGGCATTATTCCCATTTTTTAAAAGTCTACCACACCCCTTAAAACACTTTACCTGGAAAAGCTTCTTCTTTTCTTGTTATTAGCTGATTTTTGTTGGTTGGTTTAACTTTCATCCCTTGTTCCGAACAGAAAGTTGAGCAGATGAGTTGGGGTACACACAGCACTATCTGTACAAGAATTAAGGTCTTCGTCTGACTCAAGAAAGATCTGTTGTTCAACCAAATTATTTCAGTTATTAATAAAAGCCACTTCCTTGGTTTTAGGTGTTGCAAGAGTCTTAGGAAAGGCAAGAGGAAGAAGGGGAAGGAACTCTTCTAAGATCAGTTCAGTTTCCCTATTTTTGTATTTAAATAGTGACCATTTGCTCTGTTGCTTAATTAACCAGTTGGGACCCGAGGGCAATTACCTTAGAGCGGAAAGGTTGTGCTACATGAGACATGATTTGCAAAACTGTTAAATAGCAGCTTTCTACTTCCCAAGCCACCATAGTGTTTTCCAGCCACCCTTTCCTCAAGGATCACTTTCCTTAATCAAGCAAACAGTTCATTTCCCTTCCTCTGCCATCTCCTTGAGGTCAAATTTTAGATATTAAATGCCTTGGAACGAGTATCTGTCCTCTTGTACAGCATCAAGTGCACTTTGACAGTTTCCATAGTGTAAAACTATATTGATTGTTCATAATATTGTAGGAGCTTGAATTGTCATGTTCCACTAAACCCAGGGTCAAAACTGTCCTCTCTCGTGGATTTTGGAACTGTTGGCCTTTCACTAGTGGAATATAAGCCAAAAACGTGATGCGGCTGCAAAAATAGCAAATGCTATTTTTATTTAGCTGCATTGTTTATTTATTTATTTAAAGCTTTTATATCCAGAACTAGTGTCTCAGGACAGTTTTATAATAAAAGCCACACACATGAAACGGAGCACAGTATTCAGTGCTTTCAGTAAAGTAAAACTCACATTAAAACCTATTAAACATTAAAATAATGGGAAAATATATGGTTTTCCCCTGCCGCTGAAAAGAATAAAGCATTAGTAGAAGGATCCCTTCCAAATCCAGTGTAATACTAGTTTCCTGCTACTCAGCCATAGTCATCCTGGGCATTACAATGGAAGAAAGATGCAGGCAAACTAGAAAAAGTTTAGAAGAGGGCAACAAGCATGATCTGAAGAGCCATGTGAGGAGAGATGGAAAGAACCGAGTACATTTCGCCCTGAGAAGAAAAGACTAAAGGGAGATAAGATAGCATTGAACAAGTTGTTGACGGGCTGTCATGAAGAGGAAGGATGGGATGGCAGCCCAAGATGGACAGACAAATCGTCAAGGAAAACCGAAATGGAATAAGCACATTCAAATCTCCAGGGCCCGGTGAACTCCATTCCAGAGTCATGAAAGAACTTGCAAAAGGACTCTCTGAACTACTGAGTATCATCTTTGATAAATGTTGGAAAACAGAAGTGTTGGATGACTGGAGAAGGTCTCATGTCCTTATCTTCAGTAAAGGGAAAAAAGATGCTGGGAACTACACACTAGATGGAAGAAAGAGTTCAAGCTAAGACTACACAGATTTGGGTAAGACATCAGGAAAAGTTTCATCTCCGTCAGAGCTATATGATAATAGAATGAGCTGCCTAGAAAAGCAGTTAGGAATCGTCTCCCATACTAGAGGCATTCAAGAAGAAACTGAACAGCCACCTGAGTGTGGAGGTGTAACTTGGTGTCCTGCAACTGCAGGGTTGGACTTGATGGCCTTCATGGCCCCTTTGAACTGCACAATTCTATGATTCTATCTCTTCTCAATCATCCCGGAGTCCAAGACTCAAGTTGCACGAAGCCAGATTCCAGCTAGGTAGCAGGGGGGAAAACCTTGGCTGTTAGAGCAGCACAATGACAGAACTAATGACCGAGTGAAGTAGCGAGCTGTCCTGCACTGGAAGCATTCAAGATGCATCGATCAGGGATGCTTGGAGTCAGTGCACTGAGCAACTGTCTGGACACAATGGACTTCTTGGCCCTTTCCAGCTCCATCATTTGATGTTTCTACTATACCCATGGGTGACCTTGCTCCGGTTTTCCCCCAGCCCACCTCCCAAGATTGTGATGAAAGATAATGCTGACGTTCATCATCCTTGAAGAACGAGCTGGGGGTTTTTAAAGTAGAATTTAAAAAAGGAGCAACATGAACCATAAAGCTATCTTGAAGACACCGCTATTCACAAGTAGTATTCACTCCGGTACCCATGGAAGGTTCAACCGCCAGCTCAGCTCAGTGCTTTTGTCGACAGAAAGATGGAAAATGAAATAGAACTCGTAGAAGCATTTTCCCACTAGACTCCAGTGCTGCAATTCACTAGTTGTATTCTTGTGCGTGTTCCAGAGGTGTGCTTTACAAATGCCTGCTATTTTACCTTGTCTCCTTTTCTTCTTGGAAGGCAGCTTTGCAAGTGCTTATATATTTAGAATATCTTATATACCACCTGAATAAACAGCAAAAGAAAGACATACGCTGTGTCATTGTGAACATTTCTGCTGCCTCGTGTCAAGTGAGTAAGTGAATGAATGAATGAGGGGGTTCTTGTTTCCTAAGCACCTTCGGGTTCCCTTCAGGGTGATGTTTGTCATTTCAGCAGCGGGGTGCAAATCCAGTCTTACATACACTTTCGCAATTCCTGCAGCCTTCCTGTTGAACAGGGACGGTGTGGCAAGGTTTCTAGAAAGAAGTGGAGCCCAGACCAGCAACTGATGCAGAGGCAGAACAGGGAAACTCTCCAAGAACTGGAAAGTTTTGCTGGGGTGAGTGAACCAGCCAGTCACTTCCTGCCCCACAAGACAGGAAGTAGCCTGCAGAGAGCAGTAGGAAATGCTAGGAACTAAAGAGCACCAAAGTAACAGATAAAATATACACATAGCACAAAATGCACATATATTGTACACCTGCATTGTATCATATTTTCTGGGCACCTGGTCTACCAAAATAGGGAGCTCTGGCTGGCCTAGCCCTTCGTTGCTTAGTAGTGGGAAGATCTGTAGTAGTCTTATGCCATGACTGTGGAAACCATGATCCTGCATTCAGACAACACAACAAGCCATGGTGGCACAGTAAAGGCATAGAACAAACCATTGTTTCTTATTGTGGTCAGTTTGGTAAAGACCAAACTGGCCATGGTGGGTTGCCATGACTGGGTTTGGACAACACAACAGAGCAACAAAGGTTTCTAAAGCCTACCATGGGTTACTCTTGCTCCCTGAACCAAAGTCTTTCCATCCACACCTGGATCCTGAACTATTTGCATGATTCCTTTGACCGCTCCCCCGCTCCCCTTTGAGTCAAGGCTCTTTCAGGGTTGTCAACAGGATGTGGGGGTGCAGGGCGACCACCTCAGCTTGCAGCCCATGCACAATGCTCAGGAGATCCAGTTTCTGTCATACGGGTAAAATACACAAGGAAGCAGCCATTTCTGTGGCATTTCACAGCACTCCATGGCCTGCACTCGGGAGCGATGAGAATGGTTTCTACTTTGGTCTCCTTGAAAAGCTAAAAACAGTCAGTTCTCCACATGGTCTAGCCCCTAAGGAACCACACTGAGTCAAGAGCCGATTTCTGGCTTCCCCATAACTCTCTAAAATACCAACAACACTGCAGCAGCATCGCGCACTGTCGCAACACACACCTCTCTGCAAAATGGTAGTCCCAACACAACTCGGGGCTCTTTGCTCTGCCTCTCCCATTTTTTCAGCCGTTTCTGCCATCTTGTCTCTCAGGACCCCTCCCAGGTTTTGCAGCCCTATTGATGGCCTTTTTTAGAGCAAATAACATCAGGTATTATTGGTTAATCTTGCCATATTGTCACAATTCAGAATTATTATTGGATGAATTTATTGGATGAAATTATTGGATGAATTTCAGTTACTGCGGCCTGATGATGTGGACAAGGTGCTTGGACGAGTACGTCCCACCACTTGCCTTTTGGACCCTTGCCCGTCTTGGTTAATAAATAATTCCAAGCACGGGATAGGGATCTGGATCCTGGAAGTGGTTAACGCTTCTCTGAGGGAGGGTCGGGTGCCTGCCCCTTTAAAGGAGGCGGTAGTCCAACCGGTCCTGAAGAAAGCGTCAATGGATCCAGAGATGGCCACTAACTATAGACCAGTGGCCAACATCCCATTTCTGGGCAAGGTGTTGGAGCGAGTGGTGGTGGGACAACTCTAAGCTCTCTTGGATGAAACTGATCATCTGGACCCATTTCAGTCCGGCTTCAGACCCGGGTACGGTACTGAATCTGCCTTGGTCGCCCTGTATGATGACCTGTGCAGGGAGAAGGACAGGAGGAGTGCGTCCCTGTTGGTTCTTCTGGACCTCTCAGCGGCTTTCGATACCATCGACCATGGTATCCTTCTGGATAGGCTTGCGGGATTGAGGGTCAGAGGCACCTCATTGCGGTGGTTCCACTCCTATCTCAATGGCCGATTCCAGAAGGTGGTGCTGGGGGACTATGGCTCTGCGCCATGGCAGCTATGCCATGGAGTACCGCAGGGGTCCATTTTGTCCCCCTTGCTGTTTAACATCTACATGAAACCGCTGGGAGAGGTCAGCAGGAGGCGTGGGCTGCGGAATCACCAGTATGCTGACGATACCCAGCTCTACCTCTCGTTTTCCACCCATCCAGGTGAGGCAGTGGCTGTACTGAACCGGTGCCTGGCCAAGGTAATGGGCTGGATGAGGGCCAATAAACTGAAGCTCAATCCAGACAAGACAGAGGTCCTGTTGGTAGGCGGTTCAGGCTTCAGAGAGGGTGAATTGAACTTAGTCCTGAATGGGATTGCACTCCCTCCTAGGGATAAGGTCCGCAGCTTGGGAGTGCTCCTTGGCCCGGAGCTTTCACTTGAAGCTCAGGTAACAGCAGCGGCGAGGAGCACTTTCCTCCAGCTTCGGCTGATTCATCAGCTGCGCCCCTACCTGGAGTACGACTGCCTGGCGACAGTGACTCATGCGCTGGTGACTTCCCGCCTTGACTTCTGTAACGCGCTCTACGTGGGGCTACCCTTGAAGACGGTCCGGATACTTCAACTGGTTCAAAATAGAGCTGCCAGGCTGCTGACGGGGACTGGGCGTTATATTCACATGACTCCAGTCCTCCGTCAGCTTCACTGGCTCCCCATTGAAGTCTGGGCACAATTCAGGTGTTGGTGATGACCTATAAAGCCCTAAACAGCTTGGGTCCTGGTTACCTGAAGGAGCGCTTACATCCATATATGCCCGCCCGCCCCTTGAGATCAGCGGGAGAGGCCCTCCTCCGGGAGCCCTCAGTGAAGGAAATTAGGAGGGTGGTTACTCGGAGGAGGGCTTTCTCAGCGGTGGCACCAAAGTTATGGAACGCGCTCCCCAGAGAGGTCCGCCTGGCGCCGTCGTTATTTGTTTTCCAGCGCCAGGCGAAGACCTTTTTATTTAAGCAGCGTTTTAAATGTTAATATTATTGAATTTTATCTGGCCAGGGTGGCTTATTTTATTCTAATGTATATATTTTAATTTTTATTTATGTGAATCTAATTTATTGTTGTAAGCCGCCCCGAGGCTTCAGCGAATGGGGCGGCATAAATAAATAATATTTATTATTTATTTTAATAAATAAAATAAAATAAAAATAAATTCTGCCATGTTGCAGCTGATGGAATTCCCAGCAGGGGAGAGGAGGGAAATTTGCACTGGTCACAATCTGTGCTGCTCCACGGCACCACTGTAGTAATAGCAGGATCCATCCCAGACCCTGGTAGAGCCTACTCTGAGGA